GCTGGTGACTTTTGACAGAGGACACTGCTAAACCAACCTTTATTTTAAAAGAGAAAGTATTCGCTTCCTGAAGTAATTTGTTTTGCTTTCCAGAAATTCTGAAAATGAATTAAATTTTAAAAATAAAATTGCTAGACTCATGCAGAAGTTTCTAAATAAACCAAGTGAGCAAATTTATTTTCATGCTTTAATTCCTTAGAGGGGTCGGCCATATTGGCTGCATGCAAGGCAAACGCCCTATTGCTGTGCTAGGGCTGGAGCGATAGCACAGCGGTAGGGCGTTTGCCTTGCACACAGACAACATGGCCGACCCGAGTTCGATTCCTCCAGCCCTCTCAGAGAGACCGGCAAGCTACCGAGAGTATCTCGCCCGCAGGGCAGAGCCTGGCAAGCTCCCCGTGACGTATTCGATATGCCAGACACAGTAACAACAAAGTCTCCAATGGAGACGTTACTGGGCCCGCTCGAGCAAATCGATGAACAACGGGAGGACAGTGGACAGTGACAATTCCTTAGAGGGGAAGAGGATTTAGAATTGTTCCTCCACTTGCTCGTTTCTGCTGCTCAGAACTGAACTCCTTCAGAGCTTTTTTTTTTTTTTTTGAGTCACATCTGGCTATACTCAGGGGTTACTCCTGGCCCATGCACTCAGGAATCATTCCTGACAGTAAGCAGGGACCATATGGGATGCTGGGAATCAAACCCGGGTCAGCCATGTGCAAGGCAAACATCCTACCCACTGTGCTATCACTCCAGCTCCCAGAACTGCTTTCAGCCAAATCTTTTTTCTTTGTTCAAGATCAGACTTTCTTTCAGGGGCTGCCCATATTCAGTACCCAGTGGATGTGGAATTGTAATAGTCATCACTTTGCTTATGTTTGTGTCAGAGCTTATGTTTTTGTCAGGTTGTTTGCACCCCAGAGCTCCCTATAGATTCTGCTGAGACCCTAGTTGTCATTATTAAGGCACCAACCCTTTGTCATTCTCTCTTCCTAGGCCCCATTTATTTCATTCCTTTATAAATCAAGGCATTTCCCCAAATTTGCTTAAAATTTTCCATCCTGGAATTTGCTTTCTGAGAACTAACATGAGAAAAGGGAGTGAAGGAATCCAAAACTCGACTGCTCAGAAATTTTCGTGAAGACTTGGAAAGGTTCCATCATTGAAAAGCCCCATGACTCATGCCCCGTGAATATAATGGTAGGTTTATTCAAATTATGGCAAAAAGCCACAGGGCCAAGCCAGTTTCTCCCTTGGTAGGAAGATGGAACCAAGCTGAAAAGTTGCCAGACCTAAGGAGGATTAACTTATTACCTGGTTTAATTAATAATTAATGATCAATTAATTGTCATGTGTTTTATTTCATGGGGGTCAGGTGGATCACATTTGATGGTGCCAGACGCTACTCGTGACTCTGTGCTCAGGGTTTGCTCAGGGTGCCAGAGATGGAACTGCTTTCAGCCCCACTGTAAAGAAAGCACCTTAATCCCTAGACTACATCTCTCATCCCAGGCAAGTTTGTATTTCAACATAGATTTGCATATTTAGTGAAAAATGTAAGTGCTTCAAATTTTCTTGTTTTATGGGAATTAACCTGCTTGTTTTGACTGTGAACTTTTAAGTATGGTCCTCTATTTAACTCATTGATAAACTTAGATTTACCATAATTGCAAGTGAGAATTTCTTGGTAATTTTTGCTTTTTTCCAGTGAAACCCATATACTTGAAACTTCAAAATGACCTCGCTTTTTTTTCTTTTTGGTTTACACCCAGCAATGCACAGGGGTTCCTCCTGTCTCATGCACTCAGGAATTACTCCTGGGGTTGCTCAGGGGACCATATGGGATGCTGGGAATCGAACCTGGGTCAGCCACCTGATGTGCTATTGCTCAAGCCCCACCAAAGAAACAACTTTAATGGGGCCTAAACTTAGAATTTGACTGGTAACCTGGCATATCCATTTATTTATCTAGATTTTGGAGCCACGCCCATCTATACTCAGGGCTCACTCCTGGCTTTGCACTCAGGGGCCACTCCTGGTGGAGCTTGGGAACAGAGGTAGTGCAGGGATTGAATTCAGGTTGGTTGCATGCAAGGCAAGAAGGTGCCCTACCAGCTGGGACTATCTTTCATGCCCCATGATGGACATTGAAAATGAGACTCTTTCAAAACTAAAGACACTATTTTACTTATTTATTTATTTATTTATTGCTTTTTGGGTCACACCCAGCGATGCACAGGGGTTACTCCTGGCTCATGCACTCAGGAATTACTCCTGGGGTTGCTCTGGGGATCATATGGGATGCTGGGAATTGAACCTGGGTCAGCCGCATGCAAGGCAAATGCCCTATCTGCAGTGCTATCGCTCCAGCCCCAGGAGCTGGGGTTTAAACCTAAACTCTTCCATCCTGCTCTCTGCAACAAAGCTCCACCCTCTGCAACATACATACTATCTTCTAGCACCAGGTTCAAGTCCCTGTTCCACCTTACATCATACTAGGCCATCTGCAATCTTCTCCTTACTCACCAAAAGCCTACCAACCTTTGGAATGTTTGATCCTCTTTTGGAATCTTCCATGCCCATCTTTAGAAAGAACTTTCTAATTACTATTTTCCATAAAATATCCCATATTCCATTGCACCCCATAGCACGTAATACAGTCTTAAATACATGTAGCTACTTAATGAATATGAATTTTTATAGCTTTATAAGCATATAATTCACAGACCATAAGATTAACCTGCACTGTAGCACTGTCCTCCCATTGTTCACCAATTTGCTCGAGAGGGCCCAGTAACGTCTCCATTGTGAGACGTGTTATTGTGTTTGGCATATCGGATATGTCACGGGTGGCTTGCCAGGCTTTGCCCCCCGTTATGTTATGTTATGAAATCATTATCACAATCCAGACTTAGAGTATTTTTAACACCCCCAAAAGAACTCTTATGCTGATCTGTAATAATTTCTTATTTCCACTTAGAGGTCAAGATCACCAGTAGTCTATTTTTCATCTCTTATAGAGCCATGGGGTGTCAGAGATTGAATTCAGGGCCTTATATTTGCAAACTCCCCAACCCTGAGTCCTTAAAAAATAACTTAAGATGGACATTTAAATAGACATTGTTAAAAAACTAGCATTTAAAAACAAATCAAAAACAACTTTCTTGTTAGCAAGTTGATCACATCTACTTCTTATAACAGTTTAAAAGGAATTCAAAAATGCGTGATTTATTTTTAGGGCACAATCTAAATAACTAGGATTGTTTTAAGCTCCATGCTACTGACTCAGCTAGATTTTGTTTTTAAAGTGACAAATGGAAGTTTGAGTGAGGAAATTCTGTGATAGCATCTTGAGAACATTATTTGATATGAAATAGGTCAAACAACCATCCTTTTCTGTACTCCCTTTTTCTTGACCCAAGGGAGAAGGATTTCTTCTGAGAACAATTATAAAGAATAACCTGTAGAAATTCAGGACATTGATTTATGGGTAGGTCAAACACAAGCTAAGGCCTAAAACCCTTTATGAGTTTTACTCTTATATTCTATTAAACAAGATCCTTCCTTACTTAACTTAAACTCTTAAATATCAAGTAACAAAAAAAATTTTTTTTCTCAAATTGTGGCCCTTTGGAGTGATAGCATAGTGGGTAGAGCATTTGCCTTGCATGCAGCCGACCCAGATTCAGTTCCTCCATCCCTTCGGAGAGCCCAGCAAGCTACCGAGAGTATCCCACCCACACGGCAGAGCCTGGCAAGCTCCCCGTGGCATATTCGATATGCCGAAAACAGTAAAAACAGATCCCACAATGAAGGTGTTACTAGTGCCCACTTGATCAAATCAATGAACAATGGGAGGACAGTGCTGCAATGTTACAGTGGCCCTTTGAACAATGATATCATAAGAAAATGGCCAGTGAATGAAAGCAAATTTTCTTTCTGCTCTGATTTCCACAAATTAGAGTGTGTCCACAATAATTGACTTAGAAATATTTAATAAAGTTGAGAATACAGATAAATAAAAAGTGCATCAAGAATAAAATGACTTGTAATATTTTATTTTATAAGACAAAGAAGCAGGAATATATCAGTTAGAAAACAAATGCTGATGAAAACTTTGTAAAATGAGCATCTCACATGTGAAGAGTAAAAGTGATAATGAGTCTGTCATAATCCATATTTTGGGGAGACTAAAGACTTTTTCAAAATCAGAAAGAAAGTGGATGTTGCTCTGTTTAGGATTCTGTTGACTTAGTGCTCAGAATACTCAACTATTGAACTCAAACTTCCAAAATCTATCTTTCCCTTAAAAACAGCAAACAAGAGCTTCAAGTATATATATTTATTCAACATAGCAATTTAAACTTCCTTCTCTTTTAATGTAAGAAATGTAAATTTCAAAACCCATTCACTCTTTTTCTAGAAATAAGTCAAACAGATATCCTAGAACTAACAATTTGCATATAGAATTCTGAGTGTGGCAATAAGCAAACTCTTTTCATTGTAAAATAAAAACAAGTCTTTCTAGAACTAATTTACATGTAAAGTATCTCTAGAACTATCTTACACATGGAATTATATATAATAAAAAACTGATTTGTACACAGACTATTATATAACGATAAAATATTATGTTCCAATTGAGTATATTACTATTATCATTGTCACTAGTTACATGAGGTTATTTCAGATTTTGTTTATCATTATAATTTCCAAGATCAGGAGTTGAAGAATCCCAGTGGGACCAAATGATTTGGCCAGGGCCATCTCCTGAGTCTGTGACCAGGGAAGTTACTTTTTTGTTTCCATAAAGTCAATCTACTAATTAACCCTCAGGAAGCTAGTTTTTCCATAATACTTTTAAGTAAAAGAATTATTTCTTCTAACACTTCCCATATCAGAAATCCAAATATCAGCATTTATTCAATAAACTGTTTTATAACATAATCAAAATGAACTACAAATGATTTTACATTTAGGCATAAACATAAAATAAACACAAACATTTACAATGGAAAGATGCAGTAATTAAGTTTTAAGAATATGGTATATTCATCCATTTTGAGGGCGTGATACCCAATCAGTCTCTTGACTTTTCAAGAGCTGGGAGCTCAGGTCTGCTCCTAATGGCGCTTGGGGGAAACTATACGATGTTGGAGAAAAAGCCCTGGGCTCCAGTGTGTAAATGATGCACTCTGTCCCACTGAGCCGTCACACTGATCCTATGTTTTATTATTTACAACTGAAGTAGCACTGTTCCCATTAAAAACAATAATCTTTTATTCTGAGAAATTTTTAAATCACGAACTCCTCACAACTTCAGGTTTTCTTTAAATGAGGAATATATTTTTAACTCTAAAATTCCCAAAAAAAACTCAGTAATCAGTTGTGAATTTATTAATGGAGGAAATTTCTATTTTGGTCAAACTAAGTAAATGAGTAGTAATAAATTTGAGATGAGACATACCCCATAAGATATAGTTATGATAGCACTGTAACACTGTCCTCCCGTTGTTCATTGATTTGCTCGAGAGGGCCCAGTAACGTCTCCATTGTGAGACTTGTTGTTACTGTGTATGGCATATCGAATACATCACGGGTAGCTTGCCAGGCTTTGCCACGCGGGCGAGATCCTCTCGGTAGCTTTCTGGGCTCTCTGAGAGGGGCGGAGGAATCGAACCCAGGTCAGCCGTGTGCAAGGCAAATGCCCTACCCACTGTACTATTGCTCCAGCCCATAGTTATGGTATCATATTCAAATAAATACAAATCAAATTTACACCATTTTCAAATAAAAACAAACTTGTCAAAGAACTCTTCTAAGTAAAACAGGGAAGTGATATCTTCGTTAATTTAGTCTTTAAATGAACTTAATGTCTTGAATTTCTGGATCCAAGAGCTACTTGCAATTTATGATGAAAGGCATTTATCTGTTCTTTCCGAACTGGCCAGTTCAAGATGCAGTATGATTTAAACATTCCTCTTCTCAAACAAAGTGCATGGTTCAGTTTATAATCTGGAATCTCCTCAAGAAAGATCAATATGATGGAATCCAGATTTTGTTCAATAGCTTGTTGAACTGCATGATGTACCTTGAATCTAAATTTTAAAATGTATATATTAAGTTACATATTAAGAAACAATTATTATAACCAAACATCCTAAAATCTAAAATCTTCCTGGGAATTAGATTTATCACTAAAAAGCAGGTTATGGCTTTTTCTTTATTTTATATAAAAATTTAGAACTGTGAGTAATAACATTAGTGCTATTTATAAGTGCTATTTTCAATTGAAAACTGAGAACACACTTAAAATATCACAGTGCTCACTTACCTTTTGCATAATGGATCCTTTAGTAGATGGTGTGTTATAACAAAAACAATTTTTCTGCTTCGTTTGATGCTATTTACAATTGCCTCAAGTTCAAGGACACCTGCCTCAAAGTCCCTTTCTTCCAGACAAAATTTGAGAGTTTGATCTTTTTCTTCCATTGAGGAGAAGTGTTTCCAGACCCAATCCCGATCTTTTCGAGCATGAACTATATATGCTGCGTAATCAAACTGTTCGGGCTGTTTTTCTATTTCTTTGAAACCCAGAATTCGATGCACCAAAACAGTCGAATAAAAAGATATTCTCCAGCCTTCAAAATGGATTAATAGTACAATGAAAATAAAAATCAATAAGATACTAGTATTGATCATGAAAAGGAGTTCAAAGGGGGCACTGTCTTTACAAGGTGATGTGTCAAAAAGCTCCACTGAGAAACCATGATATGGAGGTGGGGTGTTACAGAGGTAATGAGTTGATAGTTCAGAGATATTGGTATGGGTATCATTCATCCAACTAACAAACCAGGAAATACTTTCACAAGTACAATCAAAAGGGTTGAAGCTCATGTCTAAGTTGCTCAGATTCTTGAAAGGTGGCCCGAAAACATCCTTCTCAACTGATGTTATGAGATTCTTCTGAAGACTCAGTGATTTTAAAGACACCTGGCTATCAAAAACAGATGGTGGAAGTGTGTTTAAATTATTCATCCCTAAGAGGATGGTCCTTAATTCAAATAAGTCCTTGAACATCTCTGCAGGAATTTCATCAAAGCCGTTAGACTCTAAGTTAAGGACATGGAGGTGAGAAAGACCCTTTAGAAAATAAACAGGACCACCAGGGTTTGCATGTTTCCAGAGCCGTGCTAAGTTGTTATGTTGTAAATTCAAAATTTCCAATTTCTCAAGACCATCCAAAAGTTCTTCCTTTACGTTAGCTATATTGTTGTTGCTTAAATCCAGAATGACCAAGTTATGAAGAGGGTGGAAGGGGGAAGGGGAGTTATCCACATTTTTAAGGGCTACCCTTCGGAGCATCAATCGTTGAAGGCTTGGGACCAAAGCAAAAGAGTTTTCCATCAGTTGTAAGCCTTTGTTATAGGAAAGGTATATTTCAACAATATTTTCCAGACCTCTCCACTCCTGGCCTGTGAGTTTTTGTTCAATTTCATTGAGTCCAAGGTCAAGAATCTTCAGCTGCCTCAACCAAGAAAAAGCACCACTCTCTATTCTGGAGATCTTGTTTCTGGTTAGGTTGAGTAGGAGCAAAGGAGAATGAGTGAGTGATAAAAATGTTTCATTTGTTAAAATTCGCAAACTTGCAAAGGAGTTGGCTAGATTTAAGTATTTCAGCTTTATCAATCCTGTGAACATACTGCTTTTTGTGTTTGGGAAGTTGTTATCTGCCATGTCAAGATATTCCAAACGTTTTAGCCACTGAAAGGAAAAATCATCAATCTCGGGGAGTGAAGCAAGGAGAAAACTTTGTTTAGTAAAAGCATGTCGCAAATTCATGTGTCTCACATTAAGAAGTCCATAAAAGGAGCGAGAATATAAATGTTGTATATTGTTATATTCCAGGAAGACACACTCTAGATGTGGAAGCCAAGTGAAAGAATCGTTACCAATCACATTTAAGGAGTTGTGAGAAAGATCAAGTATGGTAAGATTTGTTGGGTTTAGTCCAAGAAATGTCAGATTGCTTATGCTGTCCAGCTGGACATTGCTCAATGAGAGATTCTGGATGCTTGTGTTTGATAATTCCAAACAAAGTTTTTCTGTGAGCCTTGGACCCAGTTGGACATTGTTCAGAGAGAGGCCAAATAAATTTCCAATGGCATTAAAACACCCTGGAGAGAACTAAAGACATAGGGAGAAAAGTTAATAATGAAAGATGCAATAGCCCTCAGGAAGCTTTAACACAAGGTTTGACCCAATCCCCCTTCCCTATTCATAACTTGTTCTAGGACTTCAATCCATTGTGAATGCGTAGCTTTCTTACTCTGCGCCTGTAATGTCGACTTCCTCCTTTAGCCGGTACCTCCTATGACCTTGGATTCATTTCTAGCTAGCATTCTTGTCTCAGAGTAGATGACATTTTTTTTTTCAGGGGGCCTCCGTGAACTCTCAATATAGGTGGATTCTCTAAATACTTGGACTTCATATTTAAATAAGCTATTTTTAAAGTTATCATTGGGGCAGATCCAATTTTTGTATTGGTGACCATCATCCTCAATGATCAACTTGGAATCGATGGGTTTTATTTTCATTCACTGAATGAACAATTTTCCTTCTGTAATCTTGACGCATAGCCATCCTCTTCATCCTTCCCACTACTTGGTTCATTGTAGTGTGTCTAGCTTTTTTCTGTCCTTTTCCTGTTTCCTCATTAGAGGCATTAACTGTTTTAGGACACACAAGGGAAAGAAGAGACCAGAAGGCAGGGCAGAGGATCCCACAGAGGACAGGAATTAGACCTGGCAGTTCAATCCACCAGGGAAGCAAAGAAGCTCAAATTTCTATGGTCTCATTTATACAATATTAGAGTTAATGGAAGAAAGGACAGATGTGGAAGAAAACGTACTTAACTTTAAATAAAGTGAGTTGAAATTGAAAATGAAAAGTGAGTTATTAAAAGTTATGGTAAATAATATGGTATGATTGGTGCACTTGTAAAACTCCTGGAATATGATATAAAAACTGCTCAAAACTCAATTTGTCACCTGCTGGTCACCTGTGAGATCTTTAACAAGTACCATGATTTTTCTTCAACTCAACTTACTCTTGTTTACAGTGATAATAATAATAATCAGTTAGTTATAAAACTATAGGCAGAAATATTTAAAAAAACACATCATAGTGCCTGATACAGCTGTACTCTGTGAATTTAAGCTTCTTATTTCTTTCTTATTTCTTGGATAAATGCCAGAGATAAAACATACTCAAATGCTAACCATTGTCTGTGAATTGTTGACTTTCAGGTGATTTTTCATTTCTTCTCATTATAAAACATTTTATACTTCTGCAAAAAATATTCTCAAAGAAATAACTGTTCAAAAATTGAAATAAACCACCTGAACAAAATATTGAATTATCACAGGATAATTATGTGCAGAAACCATTTTTTATATCTGAAAATTAATGTCCTTTTTATAAATTTGACTTAATTTTGGATTGACAACATTCTTATTTCTAGTTCTTAAATAAATAAACATAGCTATATATGAAAATAGTTAAATTCAAAGTAATGGATCCAAAGAGAAGGTTATTTATGTCACACTTAGACTATTATAGAAAGGCCTTTATAATAATCTAATGCTTAGTATCATTTATTGCTATTAGAAATAAGTCAGGCACTAAAATTATCTGCCACACAGCTTATATATATAATAAATATATAATATATATGTGGTTTGGGGGCCATTCTCAGTGGTGCTCAGGTCACGCTCCTGGCTCTTGCACTTAGAGACCACTCCTGGTGGGCTCAGGAGACATTGTGGGGTGCAGGGAATCCAACCTTGATTGGACTTGAGCAAGGCAAGCTCTCTACCTGCTATGCTGTCATTCTAGGTTATTATGCCAATTTAAATTTTATTATTATTCTTATTGTTGTTTTCTTCTTGAGTCACACCTAGAGATGCTCAGGGGTTAGTCCTAGTCTGCACTCAGAAATTTCTCCTGGAAGAGCTCTGGCAACCAGGTAGGATGCTGAGGATAGAACCCGGGTTGACCACTTGCAAGGCACACACCCTACCTGCTGTGCTATCATTCTGACTCTCTCATGCCAATTTTTAAGACTAGGGAGAAGAAAGAACTGGAATAATTTGCCTGATTTCATAATTTTTAAGAAATAAATCCCAGAAATGGAGTCAAATAACCGAATTCACTGCCTGTGCTTTTAACCAATGTGCTATTTTAACTTCATCAGATACTCTGTGTGTGTGTGTGTTTGTGTGTGTGTGTGTGTGTGTGAGTACACATGCGCGCACATGCATACATGTGTGTATGTATGGTAATATTTCTGCTTTATAAGTGAGGACTGGAAACCCAGAGATGTTAAGTTCTCCAAGGCCGAAGAATGCTGTGTAATGGGATAGGAATCTTGAACCCACTTCATATTGACAGCAGAGTCCCAGCAACCACTTGCTATCAAACTATCCTGAAAAGATAGCATCACTGGTACTAGGTAGTCTCACTGCAAGAAGTTTCAGTACATAATTAGTTGTTCATATATAAATTTTGTTGTAAACATTTTTAAAATGAAAGAGGGACATTCAAAGATATGAAATACAACTTTTTACGTGATATTAAAAATAAAAATAGTTCAAAATATGAAATAGTTAAATACATTTTTAATGCTATAGATTAATGTCAGTGTTGTGCTAATAACTGATTTTCTTTAGTGGACTGTAATGCTTGTCTTTCAAATCTTTTATTTAATCACAGTAGCATTTGTTGCATTTTTCAATGATCAAACTTTAGACTATTATTCTATAAAAGGTAAAAGGTAAAGGTAAAGGCCCTCCCATTGACCGTCGATTTGCTCGAGCGGGCCCAGTAACGTCTCCATTGGAGACTTTGTTGTTACTGTGTTTGGCATATCGAATACTCTCGGTAGCTTGCCGGGCTCTCCGAGAGGGGCGGAGGAATCGAACTTGGGTCGGCCATGTTGGCCGCTTGTAAGGCGAACGCCCTACCGCTGTACTATTATATAAAATAATGAATATTAGTTTGCAAGCAGTTTCTTGTTTCTTCAGTAGATTAATGAAAGCAATTAATTCTGCTCTTTTATAGAAAAATTGCCTTATGGCCAGTCAATTGGTTTTGCAATGAAAATGTTTGTGACAAAGATGCTTTTGAAGTCTTTTGAAGCTACTGAGCAAGGATAGTCATTGGTCACAAACAGCAAGGATAAAGGATTTCTGGAACATGGCAGAAGGCATCATTTCTTTCTCTTTTAATCTATAGATTCTTATCTATTACCAGTATGGGACTACCACAGCTCAATGTAAACTCCTAATAAGTTTACCTTACTTCTTACCTCTTTAATTTGATTAGATGACAGTTCTAATTTTTCCAAAGAAGAATTGCCAAGGAAATAAAGCTCTTCATGACTTAATGAGTGAATTTTGTTATTTGACAATCGAAGCTCTTGTAGATTTTCTAGTTGTATCTGAGTTCCTAACTTAGTAGATGACAAGCCATTTCGAGATAGATCTAATTTCACTAAATTCTGTGAGGAAAAAAATGTAAGTGAGAGACTTGTCAAAAAGATAAAAAGAATTGCAAATGCATATAAACTTACGAATATTTCAATAGCAAAATGTCACCTTTTTATTTATTCCGTGAAAAAAGAGTCAGTAATAAATTATTTTTGCTGTAATCAAAAACATCACACTTCTGTTAAGGACCAATTTTGGGAAGCAGGGGATAGTTTAAAGGATGGAAGTATTCTTTCATGCAAAAGGTTTGGGTTCCCTTGTCAGAGGTGGATTTTACAGCATTCAGCCGAAGAGAAGGACAACATGGAGGGCGGGATCCACAGATCCCGAAGGGAAAAAAAAAAAAAGGTTCCAAAAAGAGCTGAGATCATCGGGAAGCCCCAGATGGGGTAGGTACCGCATCCCGCCTTCCCCAGATGGAACCCCGGTGACCAGAAGCCGCTACAACCACAGCTCGAGTATGCGGGAACTAGGACTTTTCCTCAAAACCGTGCGGCCGCTCATGCGGCCGCGCGAAATCTCTCTATATACAAAGTGATCCATGGGAAGTAAACCACCCAACGTTTCTCTCTGAAAATCATAGTTAAGTTTGGAGCACAGCCACAGCCCCAGAAACACAAGGACTTAATGCATAACCCTTGTCAGAGGCCCTGGCAACACCTTCCTGAGTACCACTTCATCACTAACCTGAGCATCTAACCATCAGGTCAAGTTTCACCAGAGTCCTTCCACCACAAATGCAATCACATTTTAGAGACGAGGAATATTGCTCAGTGGTAGAGTCATGCTCCTCATGTAGGAGAGAATCTCTGGAATTCCTCTCCTGAACAACAGCAATAAATGATGACAATAAGAAAAGAGCTGCAGAGCATGCTTTGCCCAGGTTTGATCCCAGCACCACCTGTTTTCTCACACTGAGCAGGACTCGCCCCCCTCCCCCCCCAGCAACACAGGGTGTGACCTCCAAACCAAATAAAAAAAAAATCAAACCAAGTCCCTGAATTTCTGTTACCAAAATAAAAGCGAATAAATCTCTACTTGTAAAAACGGCAATGTCCATATTAGCTTTTATTTACTTTCTAGTTTCGTTCACGAGAGTTCAAGATGCAGCTCTGTCTAAAGTTCATTGATTTAAAAGAAGGCCTTTGATTCTGTTGATTCTGATTCTAATCGTAAGTACTTATTAATGATGTAAGGAATATAGATGCGGCTTATTGCACTTAAAGTGCCATAGATCAACTTTGGAATCCAAACATACAAAAAACAAATTCTTGAAGGATGGGTAGAACTTTGCCACCAGTAAAATCCTAAAAAGAATTTTTGTTAAGAAGATTTGTAGTTATACATGAACTTTTGTCTCGATATGGGATGCTTTAGAATCCAGTGCCACTTTGGAACATGTAAACTTCCAACTCAAGGTAATGGTAAGGAAAAGCTGGTGTGTTTTAGGGAACAACTGCATATGGTATCTCCTAAGGCAGAAAAAAATTTTTATAGTATCTGAAAGAAAACTAACATGTGTAAGTTACCACTCTAATCATATTTTGGGGCTTTTGTGTCTGAAGACATTTTACATCAGAATCTAAGAAGATACAAGAAGTAAGTATCAAGCAAATCATTTTCTAAATGTTTCTAAGTACACTTGAATATATACCTTATTTTTGATATTTAAGATCAAGGAATGATTAATTTTTATAAAGTTTGAAAATAGGTTTGGTTTAAGAATAGCATGCAGTTGTCAGAGATTTAAAATTTAAACAAACTACACAAAAGAAAATGGTAACAGACATTGAAAAGGCATTGAACAATGGGCTTCTTAACATTCATTGATTTATTAAGTAAATCAGAATTTGGACTGGAAATTATTCTTAAGGACTAAATTAGCAGTATTTAGAGCCTATTGGTCTTGTTCTTCATAAAGATATTAATATTCTACTGGGATAAACTCCACATCCTGTTCTATTTCTAATGGGAGGTAGTTAAAAATCGAGAGCTCTTTAAAATTAATGTTAAGATGACTTAAAGACAATATGTTCTCTTTTTAAAATACTGTTGATCACAATGGCAATATTTGTGTGTGAGTAGAACAGATTTATTATTCTTTGCCTTGACAGGTAAAGTTTCAATGCATCAGTGTCTTGAAAATTTAGTGAATAACATTCCACATTTTGTATATTGAAATGTACACTTAAAACTTACCTTTAGGTTTTTAAAGGGATTGGTTTGAATTTTCTGAATTGTGTTGGACATGAGATAGAGTTCAACCAAACTCATGCAGGAGAAAAAGGTTTTATCAGAAAGTTGAGATAGCTGGTTATGTTGGAGGTTCAACATCCTCAACAAAGGAAGCACTTCGCACAACTTTGGATCTAGTTTTGAGATGGAGTTATACCCTCCATCCAAGACAGTGAGTTGACTATATCTTGTAAAATTGTCAGGTGGCAGTCTTCGGAGTTGATTATGTGTAAGATTCAACACAGTTATGTTTGTTGGGAGATCATCGGGTATTTGAGTCAACTTCAAATGACTACAGTCAGCTACTTCGTGTCTCACAACACATTTGTTGACAGAGGATGCATATGGGACCGAGAAGAACAACAATCCCAGAAAGAAGCAGATAGAGGACAAAGTCAGTCTCATGATTTGATCCTAGAAAATAGAAAAGAAAGGCAAGAAATGGACATTAAAAATGGAAGCTCTTACGTGCATTCTTATAGTCCTTATAAAGTAAGTAACCTCTCTAGCAATATGATTCATTCATTTAAACTTTTATGGTATAGAAGTAAGCATTATAAAAGTATTATGTCAAATGTAAAGAATTAAAACAGCACAGAAAGACCACAAGTATAATATCCTCTCCCGCTTCACCCTTTACCTCTATCTAGTTCCAGTAGTCCAAGGTAAACAGTCTTGATAATTTCTGTCTTGAATTCTCCTGGTTGCCTCCTCAGAGTTAAGCAGAAGCTTGTATTTTTATTCATTGATTTGAATAAATTTCTTGCTATCGTTAAATAAGGATATAAAATAATTATAATTACATGAAAATATAAGTTATATTATAAAATAATTATACTATTTCCATTTCCTCATCACAACTTTAAATAAATTTTAATGTAATCTATGGTTACATTTATAACTTTAAAGACTACTCAGAAAATTCAATTTATTCACCAACTTTAGGCAAAAATCCCTGACTTTTGATATAGAACATAAGCACCCTGTAATTTTTGTTTTTTTTGTGTGTGTGTTTTGTGTTACATCTAGTGGTGCTAAAAGCTTACTCCTGACTCTGTGCTCAGTGATCACTACTGGTAGTGCTAGAGTCCTGGGGTACGCTGGTAGGGAATATACTGAACTCAGATCGGATGCAAGTTAAGGCCAGCACCTTAATTCATCTCTCAGGCCCAATACTGCTGTATTTTTTGTTTGTTTTCTTCTTTCTTTCTTTCTTTCTTTCTTTCTTTCTTTCTTTCTTTCTCTCTTTCTTTCTTTGTGAAACACCATGAGCTACAGTTGTAGATTTATAAATTTTTGTGCTTGGGTTTCAATTGTACAATGATCAAGCACCCATCCCTCCACCAGTGCCCATTTTCCACCACCACGGGTCCCAGTATCCCTTCCACCCCACATCCCCCCATCCCACCTTGCCTCTGTGGCAGAATATTCCCTTTTGTTCTCTCTCTCCTTTTGGGTGTTGTGGTTTGCAAAAGAGGCATTGAGAGGCAATCATGTTTGGTCTATAGTCTACTTTCAGCATGTATCTCTCATCCTGGGAGGATCCTCCCAACACCCTTTATTTGGTGCTCCCTTCTCCATCTGAGCTGCCTTTTCCCCCAGCATGTGCATCTGGCCTCCAAGCCATGGAATGAACCCCCTGGTACTTATCTCAGATATTCTTGGGTGTTAGTCTCCTATTTTGTTACTTTATGCTTCCCAGATAGCACAGCGGGTAGGGCGTTCGCCTTACAAGCGGCCAACATGGCCAACCCGAGTTCAATTCCTCCGCCCCTCTCGGAGAGCCCGGCAAGCTACCGAGAGTATTCGATATGCCAGACACAGTAACACCAAAGTCTCCAATGGAGACGTTACTGGGCCCGCTCGAGCAAATCGACGATCAACGGGAGGGCCTTTACCTTTACCTTTATGCTTCCCAGATGAATGCAATCTTTCTATGTCTGTCCCTCTCTTTCTGACTCATTTCACTTAGCATGATACTTTCCATGTAGTACCACTTGTATGTAAATTTCATGACTTCATCTTTCCTAACAGCTACATAGTACTCCATTGTGTCTATGTACCAAAGTTTCTTTAACCAGTCATCTGTTCTCAGGCACTCAGACTTTTTTCAGATTCTGGCTATTGTAAAGAGTGCTGCAATGAACAAACAGGTGCAGATGTCACTTCTACTATATATTTTTTTGCCTCTCTGGGATATATTCCCAGGAGTGGTATTGCTGGGTCAAATGGGAGCTCAAATTCTAATTTTTTGAGAATTGTCCATACTGTCTTCCAAAAGGAGTGAACCAGTCAGCATTCCCACCAGCAACACTGCTCGTTTTTTTTTGTTTGTTTGTTTTTGTTTTTGTTTTTTTGCTTTTTGGGTCACACCAAGCAATGCACAGGAGTTACTTCTGGTTCATGCACTCAGGAATTACTCCTGGCAGTGCTCAGGGGACCATATGGGATGCTGGGAGTCAAACCTAGGTCGGCCACATGCAAGGCAAATGCCCTACCCTCTGTGCTATTGCTCCAGCCCCCAACACTGCTGTATTTTTAATACACTTCTTATACCTTTATTTCTCCTGAAATTCTAACTTGCAAAATTACTTCATATTGTCAATATATAAAGCATTATTATTTTATCTTAGAATTATGATGTACTTGGTTTTGACTAATTCAGAAAATCTAAGTCAACCAATATCATTTATTGTGATGTGATACATAAAATATTCACAGCAGATTGGCAGGATTTAGAGATACATTGAGATTAATGGAACAAAGCCTGGAATTGCGGTCTCTGTTTTAATTCTGACTTTTCTACTTCGTTGTCTCTAGAATGTTCATTCATGTCTAAACTTTCTCACCTTTCAAGTAGAAGTAATTATAATATCTCTTTCATACCCTCCAGGATTTTATGAGAATGAAGAAAGGTAATATATATATGTGCATATATATATTATATATTATTCTAGATGCTATGCCACCAATAGTCTAAAACTATGTAAACAAACAATAGCCAAATAAATAATGATAAAAAATTTAAAGGCAGAAGTTTGAATAAATACTCTTGGATTGGAATTGAAAATACCAATAGAAGTCATACTTCTACATAGGAATGTGTATAGAAATAAATATAGATATGATACGCATTCACTTGTACTCAGGCATATAATTTTTAACTCTGTCACATGATCTGGCTTAGAAATAAAGCACATACGCAGTGTGATATTTTAGTATCTAAGTAGCATTTTCCCATGAAAGGAACCAATGCTTATTGGATGAAGGTTTAAAGCAGGGAATAAAATAAAGGAGATAGAGCTGCCGCCAGGATCCTGGTCCGGCACACCTGCCTCCGCTTCTACAATGAGAGCCAGCCCAACTAGTCCCTGCCCCCGCCCCCAACAGGTTTGAGGACCAGCATCCAGACTGGCTGGGGGCGTGGCCTCCTCAAAGTGGGCGTGGCCTTATGTGTGGCCAGTTATACTTCCCACTCTTAGCACTCTCCTCACTCCTCAGCCTTCATCACCTAATTCTGTGGGAAATGTCCTGGCTGCCTCAAACATAATAGAATAATAATCCACCAGAATACTCCCATTTCAACAAAAAAACTGTACTCCAGAAGCTGTTAAAGCCCAATATAAGAGAGCACCTCCTCCAACGTTTCTCCTATTGCCTATCACCCATTAAAATACAGAATAATGTCTGAGAGGAAGGACATATTCTAGAAGGGGAGAAGGGTGACCACCATCAACCGACCTTATTGAGAATCCTTTCCCACAGAAAGAGGGAATAGTGCTCGTGAACTTCAAGGTTTTTCTTCTATACGACCAGAACAGCATGAAGAAACAGTGCAAGTCTCCACTACGAGGAGAGGACAAAGAGTCCCGAATCCTCAACAGAGGCTACCAACAAATATGAGCTCTCCAATGAAGAATTCTGTGTTGAAATGCTGAGGATGTTCAAAGAATTCAAAGAATCAATGGAGGAGACATCCAGAAAATTAAAGGAAGAAATGAAAGAAACAGTGGAACGAATAGCGGAGAAAATACAGGAAGAAATGAGAGCAGAAATAAGAAAGCTACAAAAAGAAATGTCACAAATGAAGGATTCTGTAGATGAAATTAAAAACTCACTGGATGCCCTCAGCAGTAGAACGACTACAGCCGAAGACAGGATCAATGAGCTTGAAGATGAGCAACAGAAATCGCATAGGGAACAACAAACGATGGGAAAAGACCTCAAAATAGCTCTAAGGCAAATCAGAGATCTAGGGGATGATGCCAACAGGAACAACATTAGAATCATCAGAGTACCAGAAGGACAAGGAGGCAACCCCAATGAAAAAGCCACCGTGAAAGAAATCATTGCTGAAAAGTTCCCAGGGTTAAAGAATGCAGACATCCAGATCCAAGGAACCAGATGGGTGCCAGCTAAAAGAGATCCTAATAACACTCCAAGGCATATGGTACACTCCAAGGCATATCGTAGTCAGAATGATGGATACCGTGGATAGAGACACAGTACAGCAAGCAGCAAGGTCAAAGAAGGAAATCACATACGAAGGAGCAGCTTTAGATTTACAGCAGACCTATCAGACGAAACCCTCCAAGCCCAAAGACAATGGTGGAATATAGTGAAAAAACTCAATGAAATGAATGCCTCACCAAGAATACTTTATCCAGCTAATACTTTATTCATTTAAACTCGATGCAGTGATACACCATTTTATAGATAAACAACAGCTCAGGAACGTCATAGAATCAAAACCAAACCTAAAAGAAGGATTAAAGGGGCTCCTGTAAGATAAGAAGGAAAACACTTATAAGCACAACCAATCCCTACAGAAAGATGGCACAAAATCCCATGATAATAATCTCCCTCAATGTCAATGGTCTAATAGAGCGGCAAAATGGATCCAGAAACTGAAACCAACATTCTGCTGTCTACAAGAAACTCATCTTGGGGGCTGGAATGATAGCACAACAGGTAGGGGATTTGCCTTGCACGCGGCCAACCTAGGTTTGATTCCCAGCATCCCAAATGGTCCCCTGAGCACCGCCAGGGGTAATTCCTGAGTGCAGAGTCAGGAGTAACCCCTGTGCATCGCCAGGTGTAACCCAAAAAGCAAATAATAATAATAATAATAATAATAATAATAATAGAAGAAGAAGAAGAAGAAGAAGAAGAAGAAGAAGAAGAAGAAGAAGAAGAAGAATCTCATTTAAAAAGTCAGAGCAAAACAGACTCAAAGTTAAAGAACGGAAAACAATCCCGCAAGGAAACAGCTCCCTCAAAAAGGCTGGGGTGGCCATACTAGTATCAGAAAACACAGTCTTCAGGTTGAAAAAATATCAGAAGGGAAAGTGAAGGCCATTTTCTATTTATCAAGGGATACGTACAACAGGAAGAAATGACACTCTTAAATGTATACACACCGAATGAGGGACCAGCTAAATACTTAAAACAACTGCTAACAGATTTTAAGGAGGACATTGCTAGCAACACAATAGTGCTCAAAGACTTCAGCATTGCCTCATCACTTCTGGATAGATAAACAAGAACAAAACTCAGCAAGGAATAAATAGAAGAGACAGGGCTAATAGACCTATACAGGGCTTTACATCCCCAAAAGAAAGAATACACATTCTTTTCCAATGCACACAGAACATTTTCCAAAATAGACCACGTGCTAGTCCACAAAACATAACTCAATAAAATCAGAAAGATAGAAGTAGTATCAACAATCTTTCAGACCACGATGCGCTGAAGATAGAAGCACTG